GAAGAAAAATATCCCGTGAGTAAATAACATCTAAAAATTTGTACTTTAGGAAATTAACCTTCATTCGAAACACTAACAGCAAGATACCCATGAAAATACACACATGGTGTCAAAATAAGCCAGAGGAAAATCATTTTGGCGGGGGGGGCGGGGGGGGGGAATGAAAAAAGATCCCAAGTCAAATTTATAGAAAAAATCCCTTTATTAACTTTTGGTCGAGAATATGTTTGTATATTTTCAGAAAACAGCTCCGAGACCATCTGGATTCTTGTAACAGAGAGGAATAGACAGAAGTGCTCCAGCCATGAAAACAGAAGAGAAACAATTCAGAGATGAAAGACGCTGACAACCCCTCACCACACCAGCAAACAGCAGCTGCGTGTTGCTGAAGGATGCCCAGGACCAAACCAGAGATGGTCGGACCTGCATCACCACCATTTGTCTACCAACCAGATCTGAAATATCATGGCTGACATGTATACATAAGGAACTGTTTGACATTGAAATTGGGACTCAAAAGAACTGTTGGCCCAGAAAGGAACTCACTACAGACTGATTCATTTGCCTCTCAGCATAACCATTATAGCTTGTCTCAGTTTCAGTTCTTACAAGGGTATTTCTTGGATAACATGATCTCACACATCTAGAGGAAATAATGAACAACATAAACTGATGAACAAAAACAGACTCAGAGAAAGAGAAGCAGCGATCAGACTCTCAAACCTTAGAGGGAAAGTAGGGGAGTGTGGGAGTAAGGGGAAGAGATCAACCAAAGGACTTGTGTGCATGCATATGGGCCTGGCCAGTGCCCATGGACAACAGGGAGGTGGGGCATATGTGGGGAGGGGTTTAGGATGGGAATGGGGGGATGCGGCCAGCTCCGCCTCAGGACCTAAAAGATGTCTGGGGTGATGGTTGGAGGGAAAGGCAGGGTTGGGGGTCCCTGTGCTCCTCTGCTTCAGGTGGTGAGGGGATGGGGTACACACTTCAGGGTGCTTTGCTCTGAGGGGTTAGAGGGGCAGCCCTGGGCCAGGGTTCGGGGCAGGGCTCTGCATGGAGGACCGGGAGATGGAGGACCGGGGGCTGTAGGACCGGGAGATGGAGGACCGGGAGATGGAGGACCGGGAGATGGAGGACCGGAGATGGAGGACCGGGAGATGGAGGACCGGGAGATGGAGGACCGGGAGATGGAGGACCGGAGATGGAGGACCGGGGGCTGGAGGACCGGAGATGGAGGACCGGGAGATGGAGGACCGGAGATGGAGGACCGGAGATGGAGGACCGGGAGATGGAGGACCGGGAGACGGAGGACCGGAGATGGAGGACCGGAGATGGAGGACCGGGAGATGGAGGACCGGAGATGGAGGACCGGGAGATGGAGGACCGGGAGATGGAGGACCGGAGATGGAGGACCGGAGATGGAGGACCGGAGATGGAGGACCGGAGATGGAGGACCGGAGATGGAGGACCGGGAGATGGAGGACCGGAGATGGAGGACCGGGGGCTGGAGGACCGGGAGATGGAGGACCGGGGCTGGAGGACCGGGAGATGGAGGACCGGGAGATGGAGGACCGGGGGCTGGAGGACCGGGGGCTGGAGGACCGGAGATGGAGGACCGGAGATGGAGGACCGGGGATGGAGGACCGGAGATGGAGGACCGGGGCTGGAGGACCGGGAGATGGAGGACCGGGGGCTGGAGGACCGGGGGCTGGAGGACCGGAGATGGAGGACCGGAGATGGAGGACCGGAGATGGAGGACCGGGAGATGGAGGACCGGAGATGGAGGACCGGGGCTGGAGGACCGGGAGATGGAGGACCGGAGATGGAGGACCGGAGATGGAGGACCGGGGCTGGAGGACCGGGAGATGGAGGACCGGGAGATGGAGGACCGGAGATGGAGGACCGGGGCTGGAGAACCGGGAGATGGAGGACCGGAGATGGAGGACCGGGGATGGAGGACCGGAGATGGAGGACCGGGGGTGGAGGACCGGGAGCTGGAGGAGCCCGGGGGCTGGAGGACCGGGGGCTGGAGGACCGGAGATGGAGGACCGGGATGGAGGACCGGAGATGGAGGACCGGGAGCTGAGAGGGAATCGGGAGATGGAGGGCCGGGAGATGGAGGACCGGAGATGGAGGACCGGAGATGGAGGGACCGGAAGATGGAGGACCGGAGATGGAGACCGGGAGATGGAGGACCGGAGATGGAGGACCGGAGATGGAGGACCGGGAGATGGAGGACGGGGAGATGGAGGACCGGAGATGGAGGACCGGGAGATGGAGGACCGGAGATGGAGGACCGGGAGATGGAGGACCGGAGATGGAGGACCGGGAGATGGAGGACCGGAGATGGAGGACCGGAGATGGAGGACCGGGGGCTGGAGGACCGGAGATGGAGGACCGGAGATGGAGGACCGGGAGATGGAGGACCGGAGATTGGAGGACGGGAGACGGAGGACCGGGAGATGGAGGACGCGGAGATGGAGGACCGGAGATGGAGGACCGGAGATGGAGGACCGGAGATGGAGGACCGGGAGATGGAGGACCGGAGATGGAGGACCGGGAGATGGAGGACCGGAGATGGAGGACCGGGAGATGGAGGACCGGGAGATGGAGGACCGGAGATGGAGGACCGGGGCTGGAGGACCGGGAGATGGAGGACCGGGAGATGGAGGACCGGAGATGGAGGACCGGGGCTGGAGGACCGGGGATGGAGGACCGGAGATGGAGGACCGGAGATGGAGGACCGGAGATGGAGGACCGGGGATGGAGGACCGGAGATGGAGGACCGGGGCTGGAGGACCGGGAGATGGAGGACCGGGGGCTGGAGGACCGGAGATGGAGGACCGGAGATGGAGGACCGGAGATGGAGGACCGGAGATGGAGGACCGGGAGACGGAGGACCGGGAGACGGAGGACCGGAGATGGAGGACCGGAGATGGGGCTGGAGGAACACTCACCCCTTGAACTTCTCAACAGGCTACCCCTGCAGGGCTCGAGCTCCTCCACCAACGCCCAGTCCAACGCACTGCACATCTCCCTCCGCCCCACCCCTGGGACATGCCTCCCAGCACGTGCCCTCCCCCGCCCCTCCCTGACATCCACCCTCATCCCTCCCCCACCCCCATTTCCACCCCTACCCCCACCCCTACCCTGACCCCATCGGACCCTGAGGCCCCACTTGGGCCCCTGCGCACGCGGCTCGGTGTCCCCTGCACACCTCCTCCCGCCCCCCAAGTCCACAGACCGGGCCCACCCCACCCAATGGCGCCTGGGGGCGTGAGGGGGGCGGGTAAGGAAGGCGGCGGGTAACGGCAGGGCTCAGGTCCGAACGCTGAGCCGCAGGTGCCATGTGGGCCTCGGGGCCAGGCGCTGGGCTCTGGCTCCCCGGCCGGGCTCCAGAGGCCGGGGCGCAGGCCGGACGGGCCCCATGGCTGCTGAGGGCCTTGCTCTGGGGTCCAAGCAGCCTGGGTACGATCCCTCCTCCCCTCCCTAGGCCCGTCCCACCCCCATTGACGGGCTCCTAGGGATCCACGCAGGGCCCCTGCCTCTGATCTCCATCCACCTCGAGAAGGGCTTCCTGTGGGCCAGGCCAAGCCCTGCGTCCGCCCGAGGGCATGGCCGGTGCTGGCCGGTGGGAACAGGCCGCCCAGGCTCTCAGCATCCCCATCCGAGGAGCCAGAACTGCACCTCCTCTCCACCTGCTTCCTCCTGGGGACGCCCGCAGCCACAGGCTGCTCTGCCCTGCGCCCCTTGGCCAACCTGTGCGGTGCTCAGAGAGGACCTGAGGCACAGGATTTTGTGTTTCTTCTGGAAGATGAAGAGAGAGCTGGGGGACAGTGCGAGGGACCGCCAGGGTAAAGGAATGTCTTAAAGGGCCATTGATGAAGCCAACTGGGAGACCAGAGCCAAGAGCTACTAAATAGCTTCTCTCCCTTTGAGAGGCAGCTAGCCGGGACAGATTCTGCAGTTACTGAAATGGCTTTGGGCGGCCAGTGGTAGTATGGGAATGGGACTCATACGAGTTGCTATTCAGCTAAAAACTAGAAGAGAATACCTTTTGGATATCGTCTTATACTCTAAGACTGAGACAATGAAAACCTCCAACAAGCCAGACTGTGTTGAGTGTCTGCCTCCCTGGTGGTCAGTGTGCATCATAGCAACTGGTCATTCCACCCCTCAGTCATTTGCATATTAGGATCTTATTATATAGGATACTTAGCATGAAGCACAAACAGGCAACTCTCTAGTCTGAGCACCCCACCCATTGGCGTTGTAAGGATTATCGGTCATTTTGTTGCAAGTTTCAAGGTACCCCTCGCCTGGTATTTGGCTTAGCATGCAAGGTTTCGAGCTCCCCTTGTCACTGAGTGTTGTTAATCTGTCTTGGCAGGCCTCAGGACTACTTTCGGGTAATAATAAGCCCCCTCTCCCGCCTTAGTATCTATCTATCCTACCTAACAATCCAGTTTTTCCTCTTTCCTTCTTAATCAGAGGTAGGCAAGAGTAGAAAGGAAAACATTCTATTTTCAAAGAATGTTTTGCTTTATGTTCTTGGACTCTAAATAGTCTTAGTACAAATATCTTATTTTTGGTATAAGATTGGTGAGTGTGTGTGTGTGCGCATGTTGTTCCAGGCATTCTTCTATTACTCATAACTCAAAAAATAAATCTCATGGTCTTCCAGCTGTCCCATATAACAGCTCCATCATTTCTGAATGTTTCTGTTCAAACATGCAGAATTCTCAGAAATAGCTTGTCCCCACCTTGATGAATGCTGGTCTTACATATATTTCTAGGGGAGAGAACATGGGATCACCACATGTGATTTGCACATGCTGGACTCACAGGCTGCCAGGTAAATCTATGAAGAAGGGGCATGTGGTCCTTTGAGGGCTCTTTATTGCATAAACACATTTACACCAGCATGCACACGCACAGGAACGCCCTCTAGTGTCCAGAAGAGAGCGGCCTAAGAAGACAGGGGCTGCGGATGCAACTGAATCTCATGGCACCTCCTTGTGGTCATCACGTCAAATGTTATCTTGGTGAGCAAAGGTCAGGAAGACCTGATCCAGTGTTATCTGACTGGCAGAATAATCTTCCAAGTTGAATTGCTCTTTTATTTTCTCCAAAGTACCAAACACCTTCAAGGACAGAAAAGTGCCGTCACCATTTGCTGTTCTCCCCTCCGGCCCCACCCAAACGAGCCTCTCCTCTACCACCAGCCGCTGCGAAGTTCATGTTGGGGAAAGGCACAGAGGGGCCATGAGGACTTGGAAGAACATCATACTGAGAACCTGAGAGGAAGCAGTTCTCTGTCCCATTCGGTGGATGGACATGGGCTAGCAATGGGATATAGGGAGCAGAAATGGAAGCAATTAAAATCGAGGGTGTCTGAACAGTACCCGCGGTCTCTACAGCCATTACACATGCTTGGCTGGCAAATATTTCCCCATCATTAGTGTTCTCTTAACATGTGATGTTAGAATGGCATGAGTTCTACAGTCACCTTTGACCAGCTATTGTCCTTGCTGGGAATGTAGTAGGTAAGGATCCATTGGTTCTCCTGCTTTAATTGACTACCTAAAAAAAAGTAAATATATTACACATCAGTGAGTAATCTTGCAGATTTAATTTAAAATTGCCAAGATATTGCTACATTTATTTAGTTATATATAATAGATGACATTATGACAAAGGTAATATGATCAAATAGCCCACTCTCTTTGACTTATATGACATGGTTCATTCCTTTCAGCAGATTTGTTCCTTAAGAAATACCTTTATCATGTTAAGTTTATAATAATTAATGGTGGCTTATAGTCACACACACAAAAAATATCAGCTCACATACCCAGTGAATGAAACCAAGCCTTCAGAAATCCTAATGTTACTACTAGTAGACTTCATTTCTAAACATGATGCTGAGCATATGGGCCTGGAGGGTGTGCAGTGTGTCTGTGTGAGGAGGACGAGTGGGGTTCAGTGTGCTCGCTGGGGAGGCGAGCAGGACAAGGCCTCCTTGCTATGATTACACACCATGTGGGAGGGGCAGTCATTCATGTACACCACCCACCCGAGGCTGTAACTGTTTCTTATTGTTTCCTTTACAGGTAAGAAACCATTTCTAATTTAGAACTACTAACTGAGATATTCCCACTTAATGCATACTTGCAGATTATTGCAAATTGGATTAACTGGAATTAAAATGTGTTAAAGTGAAAAAATACATATTTACAATGATGTGTGGCTTTTCTTAATAAGAATGTTAACACATGTATTGTCACCGTGATCACATAAAGCTCTATTTTTGCCCATTGAAATACTTCAGATAGTTTAATGAGCTATTCAAAGCAAATGCTGATGAAACCACCTCATTTAGGTCAAGTAATAGGAACTCAGATAGTTCCATGTGCCACTTCCAAGCCTCCGGCCCCGTAAAAACAACCAATGCTGTCACTGCCATTACAACTCTTCTTTTTTAATCTTCTTTTTAAATGTCTTTTTATCTATGCATGTGCCCCTAAAACTTCAGGCTGAACCTTATATGAATAGGATCATGTAGGATATATTCTCTTCTTTCTGCTTCTTTCATTCAGTGTGTGTAAGATTCATTTGTGTGGTTGCATCTTGCTATAATTAATTTATTTTCCTTTCTAAACTATAATCTGGCTTCTAAATATTCCACAATTTATTTTTCATTTAGCCACTGAAACTATAAGAATATTAATCTCCAAAAGACTGCAGTCTTTTTCTGATGTTTCTTTGTCTGCTTTTGTTTGGAATGTATTCATTTGCTTCCTTTTTTTGCTTGTCTGTGCTTATTTCTATGTATTTGGAAAACAGTGACATCTTTCATTCTTTAAGGAATGGCCTTGTGTAGGAGATAAACCTTATCATTCAACCTTGCCCTAGCTCTTGACTGTCTCTTCAACCTTTGTGATTATTTTACTAATCTGATTTATTCTTTTTTTTTTTAATACTTTTTTATTGACTTCAGAGAGGAAGGGTGAGGGAGAGAAGGATAGAAACATCAGAGATGAGAGAGAATCATTGATTGGCTGCATCCTGCATGCCCCCTCCTGGGGATCGAGCCCACAACCTGGGCATGTGCCCTGACCAGGAATCAAACTGTAGCCTCCTGATGTGAAGTCTGACCTCAGGTTTGAGCTCCAGGATAACTAAAGGAGTCTTTTTCACAGGCAGACTGTGGGTGTGTCTCTGTCTGCTATCTGTGTTTAGGTGTGGTCACCTGCCCTGGGTGTAGTCACCAGGCTAGGGGCCCAGGAACTCAAGCTCCTATGGTCACCAGGATAGTGTGATCAAGGGAAGTCCCTGTGTGGACTGAATCCACAGATTCACTGAGGCTGGAGAAAGGTGCCCACAGCCTTCACGATGCAGAGGAACAGCACCAAAAAGACATGCCTGGCCTGCACTCCCACCTGGGCTGGCAGGGAGAGGGAGAGCACAAAAGTGGCAACTTTCATCACCTCCACTTTCAAGCAAATCTCAACTGGCCACTGACCCTCTAGTGCTTTAAGATTAGCAAATAGTAAGAGTTCCTTCTTTTTTTTTTTTACAGCAGTGGCATTTCATTGTGTAGATGCACCATAGTTTTCTTTTCTAATCCACTCATCTGCCGATGGGCACTTAGGCTGTTTCCAAATCTTAGCTATGGTGAATTGTGCTGCTATGAACATAGGGGTGCATATATCCTTTCTGATTGGTGTTTCTAGTTTCTTGGGATATATTCCTAGGAGTGTGATTACTGGGTCAAATGAGAGTTCCATTTTTAGTTTTTTGAGGAAATTCCATATTGTTCTCCACAGTGGCTGTACCAGTCTGCATTCCCACCAGCAGTGCATGAGGGTTCCTTTTTCTTCACAACCTCGCCAGCACTTGTCATTTGTTGATTAGTTGATGATAGCCATTCTGACAGGTGTGAGATGGTATCTCATTGTCATTTTGATTTGCATCTCTTGGATGATTGGTGACTTTGAGCATGTTTTCATATGTCTCTTGGCCTTCTGTATGTCCTCTTTCAAAAAGTGTCTTTTTAGGTCTTTTGTCCATTTTTTGATTGGATTGTTTATCTTCCTTTGACTTTTCTGTAAATTTTGGAGATAAAACACTTATCTAAGATAGCATTGGCAAATATGTTCTCTCATATTTCTTATTATTTTGTTGATGGTTTTTTTTGTTTGTTTGTTTGGGTTTTTTTTTTTGCTATGCAGAAGCTTTTTATTTTGATGTAGTCCCATTTGTTTATTTTCTCCTTAGTTTCTATTGTTTTAGAAGCTGTGCTAGCAAAGATATTGCTTCAACATATGTCTGATATTTTGCTGCCTATGGATTCTCCTAAAACATTTATTGTTTCCCATCTTATGTTTAAGTCCTTTATCCATTTTGAGTTTATTTTTGTGTATGGTGTAAGTTGGTGGTCTGGTTTCTTTTCTTCCTTTCTTCCTTCCTTTCTTTTCTTTTCTTTTCTTTTTTTTTCCTCCATGTTTTTGTTCAATTTCCCCAACATCATTTATTGAAGAGACTGTCTTGACCTCATTGTATGCATCTGCCTCCTTTGTCAAATATTAATTGAGCATAATGGCTTAGGTTTATTTCTAGGTTCTCTGTTCTGTTCTATTCATTGGTCTATATGTGTTATGCCAATACCAGGCAGTTTTGAGGTCAGTGGCTTTGTAAAATAGCTTGATATCTGGTAATGTGACCCCACCAACTTTGTTCTTCTTTCTTGGGATTGCTGAGGCTATTCAGGATCTTTTTTTATTCCAGATAAATTTTTTGGAGAGTTTGGTCAAGGCCTGTGAAATATGTTGTTGGTATTTTAATGGGGGTTGCATTGAATATGTAGATTGCTTTAGGTAGTGTGGACATTTTAATGTTATTGATTCTACCAATCCATGAACATGGTATGTTCTTCCATCTGTTGACATCTTCCTTTATCTCTTTTTTTCAGTGTCCTATAGTTTTCTGAGTACAAGTCTTTTATCTTCTTAGTTAAATTTATTCCTAGGTATCTTAATGTTTTTGTTGCAATGATAAATGGAATTTTTTTTTAAGTTTCTCTTTCTGTAAGTTCATTATTGTTGTATAAAAAAGCCATACATTTATGGGTGTTAATTTTGTATTCTGCTACATTGCTGAATTCTTTTATTAAGTCTAATAGTTTTTTGATGGAGTGTTTTTTTTTAAATGTACAATATCATGTCATTTGTGAATAATGACAGTTTTACGTCTTCTTTTCCAACTTCTATGCCTCTTATTTCTTCTTCTTGTCTGATCACTATGGCTAGCAGTTCCATTTCTATGTCAAACAGGAGTGGTGAAAGTGGGCATCCCTGTCTTGTTCCTGTTTTTAGGGGAAATGGTTTTAGTTTTTGCCCATTGAGTTTGGCGTTGATTGTAGAGCATTATGTTAAGCAAAATAAACCACTCAGAGAAAGATAACTATCACATCATCTCATTCATTTGGGGAATATAATGACTAAATTAGCTGATGAACAAAAACAGTGCCAGAGGAAAAAAATATTTTAGAATATAATAGAAGTAATCCTGTTATTTGCAGGTTTTTTTATATTTCCTATAAATTTTATGATATTATACCATGTTAGTACAGTTTTGGTAATATTAAATTTTTTGTAAAATATTAATGTTTATTGCATATAATATTATTATATTTAAAATCATTTTATTGGAATATTAATGGACTATCTAAATGATGGGTAGAGATGTTCATGAGAAAGTTCCAGGATATATAGTTGACCAGATCCTTCTGGGCACTGAACAAAGAACATTTCTATTGGGAGAAAGGAGGCAAAAGTGGAGGTATCACTCAACTCAACTTTCCTTCAATATTTGTCTAGATGTTGATTACAATTAAGTAGATGGAATTAAGAAATATTAGTAGGAATCAAAAATCCACTGCACAATCTGTGATGAGTTGACTTAGTTTTGCCAGCAATTTCCTGATCCTTGTCTGTAAACACTATTTACCAGCCTCTTTCAATGGATTCTGTGTAGACTTGGATACTTCCTTCTCAACTATCTCTTGTTCACTTCGTAAAGTTCAGAACTAAAGAAATCCTTTAGGAATTGTTACAGACACTTACCTGGACTAGGCTGATTTCATTCTTCTATTGTGGTCATGGTTTTGGTACTTATACTTGGAAAAATCCAATAAGCATCAATTTTCACCCATTGCATGACACGTTAGTAAGATCAATTTTTGCCTAGAACATGTTCTAGAATAAAGGGAGTGGCCACAGGAAGGCCACAGTCTACCATAGTGCCTAGAATTATATCATTATTAATATAATATTTGATGCTATAAAACCTTATCCTTGTATAAAGTGCATGTATTGCCCAACTCGTTTACTCACATCATTTCAGTTAATCCTCATAATAATTTTATGCTTAAAATAATTATTTATATTTTTATAGATAAAGAAACAAAGGCTGGCAAAGGAGAGTATAAGTGACTTGTTTAAAGACACCAATGAAGGTAGCAGATCTGAGACCTGAACACTTTAATTCCAAGGCCACACACACACACACACACACACTACAAATAAATATTCACACATAATCCACACACCTCTCAAACTGCTGCTGCCTTTGCACCAGGTCCCGCAAAAGAAGTATCTTAGATCCCACAACCCCACCCCCTAGACATAGCCTCATTGGTTTCCAATGTAAAATGTTCTGGAGGTCTCCTCTCTTCAGTGCAGGTCCCAAGGCTTGGAGAACTCAGTGTGGGCTCAGCCTCTTGCTCCTCAGGCAGAAGCTCTGCGCATGGGGATCCTCCCCATTGTGGAATCCCTGCACCAGGGTTGGTTTCGGTGACTGTGACTCTGCCTCTCCCACACATCTCAATGTGGCTCTTTTATTCCTTGTGTGGAAAAGCTTTCCAGCTAGGCTTTAGTCTTTTTCAGCAGAAATTGTTCCATACATAGCTGTAGATTTAGTCATAATCTTCCATTTTAGACCCCAGAAAAACTTTAGCTTTAGGATTTGTACTGTAGGGTTCCCTCTTTAGAGTGTTCTGGGTTGTATTAAGTCATATGACTTCTCAGTGTAGACCTTTCTCTGGTACTTTCTGTTATCTGCCTCAGTCCAAACCTAAATTAGGGATGATCTTCTCGACAGAAGATTGCTGTGTGCTCCTGTTTGCAATTAGAGGGTGCTACTGACCACTCACTAGATACCCCTTCACATGGCCATCTCAGCATGAGCTCCCCAGCCTGGATGTCATAGGCACTTCATAGTCCCTATGACCAGCAGTGAGGAATTGTTTTCCCATATATATGTTCTCCACATCTGCTTTACCATCCATTTCATATAAATTTTCTGATCCCCATTTTTACTGTGTAATTAATCATACTATTTCCCCTTGTCTAGAGATACACTTCTGACTCCTTAGGCTGACACACAATGGGAACTTCTGTGATATTTTGCTCAACCTAGAAAATTAGAAACTAAGATTTAAAAAAACAGAATTATTAAGAGCCTTGCCATGTCCCTGTTTTATGTTTAGGAAAGAGCAACAAAGGAGAGAAAGAGTTTTTATCTCTGGTATTGTACCATGTAGGCAGAGAGAGGTTTATTGATTTTAGCATACAGAAGCAGATCTGTTCTTTTAAAAAAGTATTTATTGTTGAAATAATTTCACATGGACCCCTTCTACCTACCCCTGCCCCCTGCCCCCTGCTCCCTGCCCCCTGCCAACAGATCTGTTCTTGAAAGGAGAGAAAAGCCTATTGCTTCTTCTTTGTACTGTAATATCATGTCCTGGCTGATACCAAAGACCACAGTTACATGCTCAGCTGGAGGGAAAAAGCCTTCAAACTTCACATGATGTTATATAAAAATTAGAGGCCTGGTGCATGGAATTTGTGCACTGGAGCAGGGGTCCCTCAGCCTATCCTGTGCCCTCTCACAGTCCAGAACCTCTTGGGGGATGTCTGCCTGCCGGCTTGTGGCTGGATGGCCTTTTGCTGCTGCATGGCCTGCTGCTTGAACTTCAGCAGTTGCTGCACATGCAGGGGCTGGGTCACTGGGGTGCGGGGTGGCCTGACAAGGGGCTTGTGGTTGTCTGCAGGACAGCCACGCCCCCTGGTCAACACCAAACTGTTTGGCCAGCAAACACCATCAACTAGGTGAGTCAAATGCAGAGGCAAGCTCACCCTGAGTTCCCTGCGCTTCCCTGAGTCACTGGTTTGTTCTGACTGACTGGACTGACTGCCTCCTACAGAGAGTGGCACCGGGATTGGACCTAAGCCAGCAGTCGGACATCCCTCTTGCAGTCCAGGACCCATTGGGGGATTAGCAGTGCATCAAGTGGCAGGCAGCCAAAGAGGAGCCTGAATCAGGGCTAGGTGCCATGCCAGTCACATTCATCCCAGCCTGTGGTGTCTGTTTCTGCCACTCAATGTTGTTGTGGAGTCAGGAGAGGCTCCTGCCATGGTAGCTGCATTCATCAGCTGTGAGTCCGGCTTCTGGCTGAGTGGTGCTCCCCCTATGGGAGTGCAATGACCACCAGGGGGCAGATCCTTCATTGAGCATCTGCCCCCTGGTGGTCAATGTGCATTATAGCAACCGTTCATTCTGGTCATTCTGCTGTAATGATCACTTAGGCATATATCCTATATAACAAAGAGCTAATATGTAAATTGACCATCACTCCAACACACACGATGGCCATCCCCATGTGGTCAAAAATGGCTGCCACAAGATGGCCAGCAAAGGAGGGTAGTTGTAGGTGATCAGGCCATCAGGGGAGGGCAGTTGGGACGAACCAGGCCTGCAAGGGAGGGCAGTTGAGGATGATCAGGCCTGCATGGAGAGTAGTTAGGGGTGACCTGGCCTGAAGGGAAGGACAGTTGGGGTGAACAGGCCTGCAGGGAAGGGAGGTTGGGGCAACCAGGTCTGCAGGCAAGTACAGTTAGGGGCAACCAGGCTGGCAAGGGAGGGAAGTTAGGAGTGACCAGGCAAGCAGAGGAGGGCAGTTGGGGGTGAGCAGGCTGGCACAGGATGGCAGTTAGGGGTAACCAGGCCAGCAGGGGGGAAATTTGGTGTTAATCAGGCTGGCAGGGGAGTGGTTAGAGCTGATCAGGCTGGCAGGCAGGCAAGCAGTGGGGAGTCAGTAGTCCTGGATTGTGAGAGGAATATTTGACTGCTCATTTAGGGGATCTGGCATAAACAGGCAGTTGGACATCCCTTGAGGGGTCCCAGATTGCAGGCTGGGCTGAGGGAACCCCACCCCTGCCATCCATGAATTTCATGCACCGAGTCACTAATATACACACACTAGTAGCCCAGTGCACAAAATTTGTTCATATTAAAAGGGAATTAGAGGAAATCCTAACTAATAAAATCCTAACTATCGTAATAATATGAAAATTAAGCATCACTCTGCCACACCCACAAGCCATGCCCACCAGCCATGCCTACCAGCCATGCCTACCAGCCAGAGCAAGTATGCAAATTAACCCCAACCAAGATGGCTGCAGCCACAGAGAGCAGGAAGGAGGCTTGGGTTTCCCCAGCGATGGAAGAAAACCAGGCTTTCCACACACCCTGGCCAGCCCAGGCCTCCACTCAAGGGTACAAAGTTTCAATTATAGAAGGTAAATCCCAAGAAAAATGGCAGCAGCCACGGAGCTGGAGAGAGGAGGCTATTATTGCCCTGGGTGATGGAGGAAGCCAAGCTTCTGCAGCCCTGGCGGGCTCAGGCCTTCACTCCAGGCTACAAAGTTTCAATTGTAGAAGGTAAATAAATTCTAAATACCAGGATCTCCACTTGGGTCACCAGGGGGCATGGCCAGCCTGCAAACCACCACAGGCCCCTTGCCCAGGCCATCCCACACCCCAAGGGAACCCCCGCCCTGATCTGGGACACCCTTCAGGGCAAACCAGCTGGCCCCCACCTGTGCACCAGGCCTCTATCCTATCTAATAAAAGAGTAAAATGCAGATCAACCATCACACCAGCACACAAGACCAATGCCCCCATGTGATCAAAGATCCTGCCCCCATGTGGACACAAGATGGCCACCACAAGATGGCCATCAGGGGAGGGCAGTTGGGAGGAACCAGTCCTGCAAAGGAGGGCAGTTGGAAGCAATAAAGCATGCAGGGGAGGGCAGTTAGAGGTGACTAGGTCAGCAGAGGAGGGAAGTTGGGGGGCAAACAGGCTGTCGGGGGAGCAGTTAGACATTAATCAGGCTGGCAGGGCAGTGGTTAGGGGATGATCAGACTGGCAGGCAGAAGTGGTTAGGGGCAATAAGGAAGGCAGGCAGCCGGGTGAGCAGTTGGGAGCCAGCAGTCCTGGGTTGTGAGAGGAATGTCCCTCTAGGGGTCCAGATTGGAGAGGGTGCAGGCTGGGCTGAGGGACACACCCCCATGCACAAATTTCGTGCATTGGGTCTCTAGCATTTTAATATTGATATTTGCCCTTTCTCTATAATAGAAGTATCAGAGATGAAAGAAAATTCATAAAATGCATATGAAAATCTTCCTCCTGTCAAGAGTCTGGGCACACTTCAGAACCCAGAGTCAAGTCCCTGCCCACTCACATGCACCTGGAAATCATGCAAGACCTAGCCCTCTTTGGCCCCACCCCATTGAGCATGATCCAGACTTGGCCAGCCCCACCCCTTCAAGCCCCACTGTGTGTGTGTGGGGGGGGGAGGGTTGCAGCCTCAGGTCCCCCGGCCTGGTACCAGAGTGGGGGATGCGGTCTGAATTTTCCCGTCAACCAGGCAGGGGGCACAACCTCAGGTCCCCTGCCCTGGCTGGGCGCCATACAGCCTCAGGTCCCTGTTGATTGCTCATTACAGCTCGTTACAGGAACCCCGCCTCCATCGCAGGTGCAGCCATCTTGTGTTACGGGAACTCTGCCTCCACTGTAGGCACAGCTATCTTTGTGATGGTGTGATGGTCAATTTGCATATTACCACTATATTATATTATATTATATTATATTATATTATATTATATTATATTATATTTATTATATTTATTATATTTATTATATTTATTATATTTATTATATTTATTATATTTATTATATATAAGAATTATGATGATAATTATGACTTAGAGATACAATTTACATGGACAGAAGAAACCCAAATCTTATTAAAATGATACAGGAATTTGGTGTGAACCTTTTTGTGTGTGTGTGTGTGTGTGTGTGTGTGTGTGTGTAAAATTTCTTAGCATAACCAGTCACAAGAAGTTATCAAAACAACAGTCAGAAAAGGAATTATATTGGTAATCCATAGGAAACAGTTAGTGAGAATAACAAATATGATTTAATACATCTTGAACAAAATAGCCCAATCTAATTTACCTGGGAATGTCTTTGTGATGAAATTTTTAAAATCATTTAATTTATCCTTTTGTGTATCAATCTGGAACTTGACCTTTAGGATGTAAAAATTGCCAAACTTGTTCTTGAGGTACTGCGGGCTGCCCAGACACACAAACTTTCCCTTCGCCATCATGGCCAGTCTGGTACAGAAGGCATCGCATTCCTCTATTCTAGCAAAATAAAATATCAGAATAATGTAAAATTGAAACATTCTCTGTTGGAAGGCCTTCTATAATTCAAGATTTTATAGGAAAGTAGAATTTGCCAATCATAAAGCTCATACTTGAGAAGTGGAAATTTTCAAATAATGAGTATGAAACCCTCCCATAGAACATCTGAACTCCTTGTCTTCTCCCCACTCTTTATAACATAACTTAAAGGATTCTTAACTCTTCCACTGATTAGGATTAATGAGGAGCTCACATTCTCAAGCAAGTTTGCTGTTCAATATTTCTAGCTCCTCCCCTGCTAAATTCTCTTGCACCACCACTACAATGCTTGCCAACTGTCTTCTGAACCTCCCAGTGAGTCACACCTGTGGGAGGTGAAAATAATGGTTTTTCCACTTCGACGTGTTTGTGCCACATTTTCCCAGAGCAGCTGTCGGGCTACTGGGTCCATGCCAGTTGATGGCTCATCCAGAAAAATGACTGTGGGTTTTCCCATCAGGGCAACAGCAGTACTCAGCCTACGTTTGTTTCCTCCACTTCATGGTCATAGAAGGAGAGAGAATGCAGGGAAAGGGGAGAATATATAAATCAGTTGCTTATAGGATAGTAACATTTCAAATGTTGAGAGTCTCAGCAAGCACAAAACATGGATATGCACAGCGCTGGTTAAATGTGGCTTCAAAGAGATAGCAGGCTCAAGTACAGATGTATATATCAATTACTTGTTTCATTTGAAATGGAAAGGAGTGACTGTTATGTAACTGATTTTAGCAATATTATCACTGACATTTACTTACTTAGTTCTTAGGGTGTTCTGATTTTCCAGGTACATAAATCCCTACTATAATTTGTAGGAACACAACCACATGGCCAGTAGGAAGAATAAGATGCTTCCCTTTGATATTCAGAGGCTATGGTTCAATCATAACTGAGATTTTGAGTTTCATCTCTGTATAGGAGAGACATGGAACTACACTAATCTGTCTTATTACTTCGTTTTAACCTAACATCTCACTAGACAGTTTCACAATTAAATAACTGTGTGATAAAAAGAATTAGGTGATGTTGTAGGCATTTATTTCAAACATCAGAAGCACAGAGAAGCATCACAACATTATCAGCCACAATGAAAAATCAGTATATTGACTCACCTGTAGGTTTTGATAATCTTGTCAGCATGGGACTCCAGTTGCAGTGCAGTCAACTGTTTGCTCACATACAGCTGAATCTGGGACTCCACAATTCCCCATAATCTGGCAAACATGATCATTGTTTCCCGACCAGTCATATATTCCAGCAAGGCATCTGACTGAGGACAATAGCCAATTCTTGACTTCACCTGATTATAAGAATTGCCTTGATAAGGACCCAAGTCATCAGTCCCACTGAGCATTTTTTAAGGAGATAGAAGACCTTCAGTTCTCCAGGATATGCTTCTAAGAGTAGTACCAAGGATTTTCTTTTCTAAAAACTACAAAGTTATGACAAGTGCATCTATTGTCACAAATTAAAATAACAGATTCCCCAATTTAGTTTTAATGATCTGGACGATGAAGAAGTTAGAAATAAAATCCTACAGCACCACTAAATTTGGAGCATTAGAATATAAGATTCTACCCCCATTAATGAAGAATTCCAAGGTGCATGGCCACAAGGGATGTTGTTGCTCTGACGAGGTTGCAGTCATTGTAGAACTCGTTTCATAGGAAGGTGAACTGGAAGCAAGCCTTTCCCACTCCCAAATTCAGGCTAATTCAATGAGTTCCTTTATCAATTAACCAAGCCTTTTATATATTTGTCTTCAGATGTACATAGACTAGATATCCAGAGAAAAGATATGAATATTAGTTTGTTAAAATTAATTAAACAGTTTAAATAAAGTTATTTTAAATAACTAAAATTCATAGCTTTTCTGTGGGGTTTTATTAATTCACTTACAGTGATCCTAGACTCTTGGCAGAAATTAACTAAACTCTTTATTCTAGGTATGAAATTATTCTCTCATATTATTTTTTAACATAAATGAGCTATATGCAAAGATAAGTCAACAAACAAGGAAAAAATAACACGAACGCCAATATCAGAAACATTTGTAATAACTACAGGTATTGGGATTAGTACATCAGATAAAAACAATGATAGTACTTATTATATTTAAATAAATTTTTAAAGTTTAAAAATATTTGATAAAAGAGGAAAGTATAAAGTCATGTAGACCTTTTAGAAATGAACCATATATCTAAACATCTAGAAATGAAAAAAAAAAAAGAGTCATATTACAATTTCTGTGAATGGGTTGAATTTAGTTACAATGAAAAAAATTAATCTGATAAAGATAGATCATAAGAAAGTTTATAGAATGCAGCACAAAAATAAAAAGTGTGGAACGAATAAAGTGACATTGAAAGATTAGGATGATAAACTAGAAATATCGGATCTGGATAACCAGAATTGCAGCTGGACCAAAAGATGGGAACAAGAGAAATATGTGAAAACTAATAAAACTTATACAGAACTAATTTAACTAATTAAAAAATAAATTCAAGAATGTCATTAACTTCCAAGAGAATAAAAATCTGAAGATCCACATCTAAGTGCTTCATATTGAAGCTTATGTATATCAAAGAGAAAAATTATAAAGCAGCCCATAGAGGAAAAAATATAATATGTCATACTGACAGCTGATTTCTTAAAAGCAGTGGTGGAAGCTAGGTGATAGTGAAACAACATAATAATTTGCTCATTAAATATAATTGCAGCCCTAGTTGATTTGGCTCAGTGGATAGAGCATTGGCCTACAGACTGAAAGATCCAGAGTTTGATTCTGGTCAAGGACACATGCCCAGGTTGCAGGCTCAATCCCCAGTGGTGGGTATGCAGGAGGCAGCCAATGGATGATTCTCTCTCATCATTGGTGTTTCTATCTCTCTCACCCACTCCTGTCCCCTCTGAAATCAATAAAAATATATTTTAAAAATAATAGTAATTGCAAACCTCAAATTCTACACACAGTGAAAATACCTTTTTCCAGTGAGGGTGAATTAATGGCATTTGCAGAAAGAAAGTGAAAACAAATAATAAAAGGCTTTCCCCTGAGATTGAGATGGAGAAACTGCCTGCAATTGCCATTGCTATTCAATGCAGAGTAGAGGCTCTAGCCCTCACTGTAAACAAGGAAACCAGCATAGGATTGGGAAGGAAAACAAACTTGGCTATTTGCAGGTGGTCATGATTGTGTAAGTAAAGATTCTAATATAATTTATAAATAAATATTAGAATTAAGAGAATTTAGCAATTTTGTTGAACAAGTTCAGAATTTAAAAGTCTATTGTACTACTATAGACCATCAATAAGGCATAAAAAATAAAATCATTTAAGTTAATATTAAAACAAAATACATTGAAATGAACTGTACATAATAAGCTGACTTCTCTTATCAGTGTAACATCCATGCACAACTATTAAACTATTATTCTGAGGCACTTATTGAGAAACAAATTTATGGAAATGACATATGTGCTATAAATTTTGTCATTCTTCTGAAATGCACACTCAAAGTCTCAATAAATATATGCAAAGATAGAATATTTCTCAACATATCCATAATTTTAAAAGTTAAAGAATAACCAAAGTAACAATGAAGAACAAACGTTTCACTATTAAATAGTATGACTTATTATAAGGCTACTATAATTAAGAAAGTATAATAATGGCTAAAGGCTAAAATAAATAAACCTATGAAAAACAACATAGTCCAGAAACTGACTCATATTTAGGTAACACTTGATAGTTGACAAAGTTGACATTGTAGAGGAGTTGGAACAATGATAATCTCTCACCAAAATGTGCTGGTCAACTGATTATATATTAGGGGAAAAAATGAATATTTACCCTTATGGACAGTATGCAGATGAATAACAGATTTAAACGTGAAATGTAGGCCTTGATTGTGGACCCACAGCCAGGACTCCTTCCTCCCCAGAGGCAGGCTCCTATGAGTTCTGGAGCATGCTTCCCTGCCACTGGCTCAAAGCTTTAGCCCAGGTATTGCAACCACACCAGCAGCTACTGCCACAACTGCATAAGCAGCCATCATCACAAGAAGTGGAGGAGAAGCTGCTGCCTGCAAATGCCCAAGAAGCATCTGCCACCGCAACCACAAAAGCAGCCACATGAGCAGTTGCCACTGCAAATACCCGAGGAGCAGCCACATGAGGAGGCACCACCACGACTATTCAAGCCAAGCCAACAGTTTTAACCTGGTGATCATGCGAAGAACTGCCAAGCCCAATGCATTGACCCTAGGAGCCACAACTGTGCGACCTGCAGCCAAGCCCAACAAATTGACCCAGGAGTCATGACTGTGCAACCCAATACCTAGATCCTTTGGTGAGAGCAAAAATAGGGACACAAAAAATAACCAATCAAGAAAATAAAAGGAAGAATTGCCAGAAAATGAACTAAATAAAACAGAGGCATGCAATATGTCAGTAAAAGAATTCATAATAAGTTGAATTCATATAGCTCACAAAGCAGATGAATGAGAAAATCAACAATTTATGTTAGAATCAAATGGAAATTAAAAACAAAAAACAGCCGGGACCGGTTTGGCTGAGTAGATAGAGCATCAGCCTGGGGACTGAAAGGTCCTGGGTTCGATTCTGGTCAAGGGCAAGTACCTTGGTTGCAGGTACATCCCCAGTAGGGGGTGTGCAAGAGGCAGCTGATCGATGATTCTCTCTCATCGATGTTTCTAACTCTCTATCCCTCTCTCTTCCTCTCTGTGAAAAATCAATAAAATATATTAAACAAACAAACAAACAAACAAACAAAAAAACACCATGGGAGACTTCAACACTAGATTAGAAGCAGAGAACTTAATTAGTGAATTAGAAGACAGGGCAGCAAAACCCACCCAACATGAATGACAATTGGAGAAAAAAATTAAAAGGAGACTTTGCCTGTGACCCAATAGGTGTTCTATCTTTGGTAAAACATGAAACAAGCAACATATGTATAATAAGGGGTGCCATAATGACAAGAGTAAGGGTTAGAAAACCTATTTGAAGAAATAGTGTCAGAAAACTTCCCTGCTGAAACTGGTTTGCTCAGTGAATAGAGCATTGGCCTGCGGACTGAAAGGTCCTGGGTTCGATTCCAGTCAAGGGCATGTACATTGGTTGCGGGCACATCTCCGGTAGGGGGCGTGCAGGATGCAGCTGGTCGGTGATTCTCTCTCATCAACATTTCTAGCTCTCTATCTCTCTCCTTTCCTCTCTGTAAAAATTCAATAAAATATATATATATTTTTTTTAAAAAAAGAAAGAAAAGAAAACTTCCCTGATTTGGGGAAGTAAAAAGTCACACAAGCATAGAGTCCCAAGCAAGATGAACCCCAAAAGACCCACACCAAGACACACCATATTTACACAATGACAAACATTAATGACAAAGGGAGAATCTTAAAGGCTGCAAGAGATACAGAATGTTACTCCTAAGGGATCTCCCATTAGATTATCAAATAATTTCTCAACAGAATCACATTAGGCAAGAAAGGAATGAAAGAAGTATACAAAGTGAAACAAGGCAAGGGGATGAACCCAGGAATACTCCATACAGCAAGGCTATCATTCAAAATTGAAGGGAAAATTGGGAGCTTCACAGAAAAAAAAAAAAAAAAAGGCTAAGGGAGTTTATCACTTTATTTCCAGCAATGCAAGAAATGCTAAAAGGATTCTCGTAAAAAGAAGAAATTTAAAGAAAAGAAGGAACACAGGCACTAAAATAAAAATGGCTACAAACTAGTACCTATCAATAATAACTTTCAATGTAAATGAACTAAATGCTCCAATCAAAAGACATCAAGTGGATGAATGGATAAGAAAACATGACACATATATGCTACCTCCAAGAGACCCACCTCAGAACAAGAGACTCACACAGCCTGAAAGTGAAGAGATGGAAAAATATCTTTCAGGCAAATGGAAATGAAAAAGAAAAAAGAGGCTGGGGTAGCAATACTTATAAATGACAAAATAGACCTCTAAGAGAATGATATAACGGGAGGTAAGGAGGACCACTTCATAATACTAAAGAGATCAATACAACAAGAGGATTTAATTCTGGTAAACATATATGCACCCAATGCAGGAACACCCAAATACATAATAAATATCTGGAAGATGTCAAGGATAGATTGACATCAATACAATCATAGTAGGGAACTTTAATGCCTCATCAATATCACTGGATAAATCCTCTAGACAAAAAAATCAGCAAAGAAACATCAATCCTAAATGACTCACAAGATCAAATGGACTTAGTTGAAATCAACAAAAC